AAGAAAGAAAGAAAGAAAGAAAGAAAGAAAGAAAGAAAGAAAGAAAGAAAGAAAGAAAGAAAGAAAGAAAGAAAGAAAGAAAGAAAGATTTAAAACTAAGATTTTCCCAAGTTGAGGGGCGGGGGGGAGGGAGAGGCAGGAGTAGGAGGAAACAGAAGAAGGCAAAGGGCCAGAATGGAATATTCTGGAGAACCAGCGCTATAGTTTGGATCTGGAATGTCTTCTAAAGGCCCAGCATGTTGGAAGCATGGCTCCCAGCTTGGCACACATGAAAAGATGTGAGCCTCTGAGAAGTGGGGTCTAATGGGAGAGTTTAGGTCACCGGGAATAATGTGAAGGAGACCGTGAGGCCCTTGTGGCGTCATCCTTTTTCTTGCTCTGTTGTGTGTTCCCCATGATCCCTGCCGTGATGTGCTTTCTCATCACAGGCCCCAAAGCAACAGGGCCATGGATCATAGAGTAAAACTTCCAAAACTCTGAGTCAAATTCAATCTTTTCTCTTTATAAGCCAAATATCAGATATCTGCTATAGTAACAGAACACTATCATTTATGTGTAGTTTGTGTATAAGTGCCAGTAGTTGTATGTGTGTGGAGATATGCATATGTGCGTGCATATGTGTGTTGTTTAAAAGTACCTGTATCTGTATATATGTGTGTACTTGTATACATGTATACCACCTAGGTATTTGTCAACTTGCCACAATCCATCTGAGAAGGATCAGCTGAGAAAATGCCCCCATCAGATTGGCCTGTAGGTAAGCCTGTAGGGCATTTTCTTGATTAATAATTGATGTGGAAAAGCCCAGCCCACTGGGGGTGGTACCACCCCTGGGGAGTTGGTACTGGGTACTATAAGAAGCAGCACTCCCCCATGGCCTATGCATCAATTCCTGCCTCCAGGTTCCTGCCTCCAGGTTCCTGCCTCTAGCTCTTGCGTTGACTTCCCTCAATGGTGAACTGTGACCTGAGAGCTGTAAGATGAAGTAAACCCTTTGCTTTAAAAGTAAACCCTTTTCATTAAACTCAAAGCTGCATTTTGGTCATGGTCTTCATTACAGCAAAAGAAAGCTAACTAGGACTGTATATAACATAAACATGTCCTGTGTTATAACCATGGTGTTGACTATATAACTTTATCCATCTGCTAAAACTCACTGAATGGTACACTAAAAATGGGTAAATTCATCTGTATGTCTATTTTAACAAAAACTAAACAATTAAACAACAGACCAACCAAGCAGGGGCTAGAGAGATGACCCAGTGGTTAAGAATACTTGTTTCTCTTGTGAGAACCCAAGTTCAGTTCTCAGCATCCACACTGGATGGTTCACAACTGCCCATACCTCTAGCTCCAGGGGACCCAGTGCCCTCTCTGGCTTCCTTGGTATCTTAGTTAGGGTTTCTATTGCTTTGAAGAGACATCATGACCATGGCAACTCTTATAAAGGAAAACATTTAATTGAGGCTGGCTTACAGTTCAGAGTTTTAGTCCATTATCATCATAGTTGGAAGCATGGCACCATGCAGGCAGATATGGTGCTGGAGAAAGAGCTGAGAGTTCTACATTTAGATCTATAGGCAGCAGAAAGAAAGAGTGACACTGGGCATGGCTTGGGCACCTGAAACCTCAAAGCCCATCCCCAGTGACACACTTCTTCCAACAAGGTCACACCTACTCCAACAAGGCCATACTTCCTAATAGCACCACTCCCTATGAGCCTATAGGGGCCAATTTCATTCAAACCACCATGCTGTGGGATGTCTTTCTATATGCTGTGAATATGTTTCACTACCACTGGCTAATAAAGAAGCTGCTTTGGCCTTTAGCAAGGCAGGATACAGCCAGGCAGAAAATCCAAGCAGAGATACATGGAGAAGAGGGTAGAGTCTGGAAGATACCATCCAGCCACCCAAGGAGCAATATGCCAGCAGACCAGTAATGCCATAGCCATGTGGCAATACACAGATGAATAGAAATGGGTTAATTTAAGTTGTAAGAACTAGTTAATAATAAGCGTGAGTGACTGGCCAAACAATTATAATTACTATTAAGCCTCTGAGTGATTATTTTACAAGTGGCTGCAGGATGGGACAGGACAGAGAAAAGCCTCTGGCTACATTTGGCACCCAATGTGGGGCATGGATCCACAGAAGACCTAAAAAAAGCTTTAAAAGGGTTCTAAAACACATAAACAGAGCCAAAAACAGCTTCCTAGCCTGTCTCTCATACAGGCTGCAGTACAGAGACGCCCTGGCATTCAGGCTTGAGCATAGCATGGCAGATTCCTGCTGCGGTACACAGAGGCTTCTCCAAGCTGCACAGCACACCGTGTGGTGGATTTAGCTTTTACTCACACAGATGAAAAAGGTTTGTGGGCTGTACACTACCTGGTGGCAGCATAGACTCCAGAGTTGGGGAGTAAGCATGACTATCCTGGGTATCTCCACCATGTTGGGAAGCCGAACAGGGTGGAGCCAGAAGCCAAAGCCACCACTTTGGTCCTGGCCACACCTGCTTAGCAGTTTAAAACAACAATCAGAAAATGATTACAGGTACACAATAAAGACAGATTCAGACAAAAAGAAACCATTAAATGGGTCACAGTGTATTTAAAAAATGTACATAAGCTTGGGAGAGGAAAAAGAGTACAGACAGTTATAAAAAGAAATAGTTTGTAAAAATAAGAATAAAAATAATATGAAAGAAATAAGCCACGCAGAGATAGAAAATACACAGAGAGTCTGGATTATGTATGTTATTGTTTTCTTTGAATTTTTTGACTGTTAATGAACTAACTGCAGAGAGACATTTGATTGTGGGGACTACTAAGTTAAATCAACACATATATTTTAAAGATATCTTGACTTCAAAATTTGGGACTAAAGATATGTTGCTTTGGAAAAAGAGGTTCTGCTTTTGCTTCCACAAAAGATGAGAAGCTGTGGATCCGTTCTAGGTTATTACGGTTTGATTGACTAAGACCCCCTAAAAGGACTCCAATGAGAACCATGGCCCAGATGATCCAACATCCACAACAGCTTCAAGGCTACTGGCTAAGATGGACCAACCACACAAAATACCCCAGTCAGGACTTGACCATATTCTAAATTTTCTCAAGATCCCCATAAGATTACCAGAGCTCCCAACCAGCAGAAAGCAGTATAGAAAACTATGCCCAAATTCCCAAAATATTGTTTATGAATGTTTGTTTTTATTTAAAGGGGGTTGGTTATAAATGGTTAATGGTCATAGTCAATCTCTTTCTAAGGAAGAAAGGGGGACATGGTGTAAAAAAGACGGAGAAGAGGTAAATTACTGAATCTACTTTCATTCAAAAAACAAATGTTAATAACAAAATATTTTACACTGGTATGGATTTTGGTCGACTGATACAAATTTAAGGTCAATTTTGTTAAACTATATGTATATTTCTACTCTTCTTTAAGGTATTATGTTTACACAATTCATTTAAAAATGTAATGTATAATTAGAAAAATACAAATTAACAGTCATCTATAATTGTCAAACGTATAGTCATATTAGTTAGGTTTTCGAGATATACAGCGATATATTTCAGGTAGGTAGGTAATCTTCAAACACTTCAAAAACCCACAGAATATAGCATTTAAAAAGAACTTAGACTTTTCTGGACAGTGAGAGAATCAACAGAAGAAAAAGGAGTAATCAGCCGCTGTGAGCTGAGATGCTGACCTTTGACCTCCCCAAGAGAAAGATGTTCAGATTACAGAGCTGCCTGCAAGGCACATGGAGGAGCTCTGGGGTCCTTTGCACCATGGTCACAGTGCGTGGGAGTCATCACTCATGGTGAGGTCGGCTTTCCAGGGATGCTGTTAGTTACAGTAACCCCTCACCCATACTGCTGTTAGTTACAGTAACCCCTCACCCATACTCTTGGATAACCCAGTAAAACCTCATTCCTTCACTCAACCAGACAGTGATACAATCATGACTTTGGTCTGTAGTGCACTCCCTTTCTAGGGTGAAGTGTGTGTGTGTGTGTGTGTGTGTGTGTGTGTGTGTGTGTGTGTGTGTGTGCATGTTTCATACACATGAGTATGCAGATGTGCACATCTATGCATGAGTTTTCAGAAGCCAGAGGACACTGAGTGTCTTCCTGTTGCTGTCTGCCTTATTCCCTTGAGACACAATCAATCTCTCAGTGAACTAGAAGCTTGCCCTTTAGGCTAGGCTGGCTGGACAGCAAGCTTCCAGGACCCTCCTGTCTCTACTTCCCAATGCTAGGGTTCCTAGCATACCCAGCATGCCCAGCTCTTTATGTGGGTGCTGGGAGTCAAACTCAGGTCCTCATGCTTGATGCTTGCACAGCAAGAGTTCTTACACACTATACCGTCTCCCTGGCCCCAAATTTGCTATTGTAGTCATCATAGAAACCTTGTTAACACAAAAACCAAGACGACAAAATAGTTACTTCCAATTTCAAATACTGCCCCTGAATCAACCTCCATAATAGTGTCATTCAGAAGAGCCTTTGGGATTCTGGAAGCATTACTAACCTGAGCTTGCCATTTTCTCCAATAACCTCCAGCTCCTCTGAAAGTTGGAACCCCACTCTCCGCACTAACACCAGCCCCTGAGATGATGGCTATGTGCTTTGCATTTGCAAAACACTTCCGAAAATCTGCCATATCTAAACAGAAAATAAAACCTGTGTCAATCCAGAGTACCAATGGGACATTTATATTCCACATCCATTTTCTATAGCATGAAATTTGACACTGAATAAACTTACACTGTAAGATACTCCAATAGGGGCTGAAGAGATGGCCCTGCAATTAAGAGTACTTTTTGCTCTTGCAGAGGACTGCTGTTCAATTCCCAGCACCCACATGGTGCTTTACAATCATCTCTAACTCCAGTTCCAGAGGATCTGGGGCCCTCCACACTAACACTAGCCCCTGTGGGCACCAGGCACACACATGCGTAATACAAGCAAACACTCACACACATTAAATAAATCAATCTTCAAATAAAAAAGAAAGATTTAAGATGTTCCAATAAAAAGCATTCCTCCGGGCTGGTGAGATGACTCGGAGAATAAGGGCACTTGTCACCAGGCCTGATGACCTGAGTTCAGTCCCTGGAAGCCACAGGGTGGTAGGAGAACAGATGTCTACAAGCTGTCCTCTGACCTAAACACACACTCTGGCACACATATGTCCCTCTCCATTATATAAATAAGGTTTAAAAAACATTTCCTGTGCCATGAAGACATCATCTGGGACACTCGACCGGTGGGCACACGGTATCTCCAGGACACGAGGGCTTTGGGCACACACCTAGCATGGCATCTCAGCTCCACCTTGAGCCCTCTGTGTGATCTGAAGTGCTTATGCTCTGTATACTTGGTTCCGTGGGCTGCTTGGTGTATTCTTATCGCAGAGCACAGTTGTGCAAATGTAAAAGAGTTGATGGATCCAGATTTCTTGTGGAAAGTCAGGACAAAGTCTTTGTGCTTGTGGCCGAGCCCAGCAGATGCCAAACGTCTAAAATTCTCCCCATATTCACCTGCCCTGTGAAAAGCATGTTAAAGCTTCCTCGGCACCGTGACCAGCACAGGCATTTATAAGGATGACTTACTTGAACTTGGACGAGCCATGGTGAGGCAGATCTTGCTTTGTGGGGAGGCCGGAGGCTTCAGTCTACAACACAGCTGGGAAATGAATCGGCTTGGAACAATCTGGAGTGGGCGCATCAGGTTTGCTTTGAAGTGCTACTCCAGCAGGCTTTAGAAAAGTTATAGAACAACACAGAAACAATCATGAATCATACAAATACACGGTGTGTCTTTGTCTTGTTAGAGGTGTTATTGCATGTATATAAGTACAAACGTTTTGCTACTCAATTCAAGATAACTAGTCCTAAGTGGAGAATCTCATAAATATACTCAGCCAGCTGAACATTGTTAGTCCAGCCTACTTCAAATGTGCTCACAACAGCACTCACTGTGAAATCTTTTAGAATAAAGTATCAAACATCTTACAATTTCTAATTCTATTTCTATTTATTTATTTATTTGAGACAGAATCTGGTTACATATTACAGGCTAGCCTTGAATAATGTTCCTCTTATTGCAGCCTCCAAAGCCAGAGATTACAAGCCTGTATGCCACCATGCTGAGAGAAATATTTTTTAAGCTTTTGAGGGTGGATGAAACCCAGGGCTTTGATTGTACCAGGCATCTGGAGCTCCACCAGGTCCTTAGCTTGTGACTCACTGAACACTGAACTAAAAAGGAAACATGGCAATGGTGAAGCTGAAAACTCCTCAGTGAGCTCATGGTGAGTAAGGGACTATTTTGGTAGGAATGCCCTAACATGGTGGAGGCAGGCAAGGTAGGAGTTCAAGGTCATCCTCAGCAATACAGGGAGTTCAGAACCCCACCTGGGCTACATGAGAGCTGGTCTTAAAAATAAACAAGACAAGCCGGGCGCCTTTAATCCCAGCACTCGGGAGGCAGAGCCAGGCGGATCTCTGTGAGTTCGAGGCCAGCCTGGGCTACCAAGTGAGCTCCAGGAAAGGCGCAAAGCTACACAGAGAAACCCTGTCTCGAAAAACCAAAAAAATAAAAAATAAAAATAAAAATAAACAAGACAAAAAAAGCAAGACAAAATGAAACAAAACAAAAGGAGAAAGATAAAACAAAAAGAACACCCTTAATTGAAGTCTTTAGCAACAGAGGGTCATGATATTCAGCCTGGTTGTTTTCACTCATACTCTGGACTGTTGCTCAGCTATACAGTGCTCTCACGTGGGGCTGTATACCTACAGTCACTTCTGAGAGCCTCAAGAATGCCAAGCTTCCAGGTCACCCCAGACCACAGTCAGCCACCTGGCCTAGCCCACAAGCCACAGGGTAATCTTGATGGCCACTCATGTTTGGAATCATGGTTGTAGAGGCTTGGGAAAGTGTTAAACATGAGGTGTGTGTGTGTGTGTGTGTGTGTGTGTGTGTGTGTGTGTGTGTGTGTGTGTACATGTGTGAAATGGAGACCAAAGGACAACTTAAGGTGTCTATCCTCAGAATTTGAGACAGGATCTAGAACTTGCAGAGTAAGCTAAGAGACCCAGGGATCTACCTGTTTCTGCCTCCCTAGAGCACACACCCCCACACCTAGATTTTTTTTTTTTTAACATGGGTTCCGGGATCAGACATAGGTCTTCAAGCTTGCAAGACAAACACTTGACTGACTGAACTATCTCCCTGGCCCCAAACACGAGAATTCTTTAAAAAACAAAAAGCAAACAAACAAAAACCCTGCTGCATTTGTAACAGTACAAAACATTTTTAAAACCTGGCTACCTTTTTCCAATCTATGTTTTATTTTTAATTATGTCTATGTGTGCGGACAGGCAGTTGTGAGCTGCCCGACGTGCTGCAGGAGCGGTCCCCAACCGCTAAGCCATCGATCCAGCTCCCTTCCTGAACTTTTGATGATAGAGTTTTGATGGCAAAGTGAGTTTTGAAAACTGAACTAGATGGTGATAAGTTTGAGGCCTCCTGAAGGCCTCTCCGCCGTTGCAACAAACTGAATCAGACCAAATTGGAAAGCCCAGGTTTAACGGGTAAAGCGCTCCAGGATGATTCCCTGGCCCCAAAGAGAGGCGACTGGGACGCGAGACCGACCAGAAGAACCCCAAGTCTGTTTTCTGGGATGCCTCTTATATATCCCCTGTGGGAGTCCTGAGCCTCTCTGGGGAGGAGCTGTGTTTGGCGGGCTTTGAAGGGGCAGATTTGGGGAAAGAGATGGGGAGGGGAGCCAAGGGTGGATCTTCCACCAGACTCCTTCCAAACATTCCAGACTCTTTGAGTATAGGGATGCCAGGGTGCCAGGGGTTGAGGGGAGCTCCCACCCAAACAGATGGGCTATGTATACTGCCACAATAAATAAGATGAGGGTGACAATGGGTCAATGAGACTTGTCAGTTGTGAGGCTCATTTAGTAAAAGTTTCTACTTGAGAAATTTTGTAAGAGGAAAACGGGGGCTGGGCATGGAGGCATATTCCTGCAATCCCAGCACTCAAGAGGCCAGAAGCAGGAGGATTGTTAGTCCAAAGCTAGCCTGGTCTACATAGTGAGTTCTAGGTCAGCCTAGTCTACATAGAAGACCCTGGCTCAAACAGAGACAACAACAGTTGGATTGATCCAAGATGACTTTATCTACAGACATTAGAGAATTGGGTTAGTAGAAGAGCCTAGAACAGGCCTAACTCCCCACCCATAGAAACAAGTTCAATAAGCAAGGAAAAACATTCGCAGTGTGCAATGCAGCTATTATTCAAAAAGAAGGCAGGGCCAGGGGGTGGTTACATCAGTTTAAGTCAGTAAGATTCTCACCATGCAAGCATAAGAACCCAAATTCAAATCTCCGGTACTCATATCAAAACTCAGGGGTGACAGCACAAGTCTGTAACCTCAGCACCGAGGGGCGGGGACACTAGGCAAGCTCAAGATTCAGTGAGAAACCCTGCCACCAAAAATAAAGGCCAGTGAGATGGCGCTTGTCACCAAGCCTGATGGCCTGAGTTTGATTCCCCAGAACCCACATGGAGGAATGAGAGAACCAACTGCCACTAGCTGTCCCCTGACCTTCACAGTGACATGAACGTTACCCACACACACCAATAAATGTAAAAACAAAACAAACAAAAAAAAGCTCAACTTTTTAAAAATCAGAGGAATAGAGCAAGACCATCAACAGTGGCCTCTGGCCTCCACAAGCACACATGTACACACTTGTACACACATACTATGTCCATACACATTCATTCATGTCCACAAAGATTTTTGTAAAGAATTCAGGACTGTATTCCTACAACATTCCAAAATAAACAAAGACTAATTTGTTTGTGGTCATGATGGAAGGGTAGGAAATACAGACGTGTGGAGAAAGGGGAGCAATGAATGTGCCCTGTGTCCCGATCACGGTAGCAGTTACATGGCAATGTCTATCAGAGCTTACAGAAGTCTACACTCCCAAAGAGTTATTTTTACTGTATTTGAGGTATATTTAAAAATGATGGGTAAAAAGTTTCAGTTTTATAAGATGAAGAAAGCTCTGGGGAAGAATATCCCAGCCACCACCCATGACTGCACAGTGGTTTTAAAATGGTTAGGACAGTGTGGTGGTTATCTGCATTGTCCAACTTGACTCCATTTAGATCACCATGGAAACATACCTCCCAGGTCACCCACGAGGTTTATTGGAGGAGGGAAAACCCACTCTGAAGGTGGGTAGCACTATCCCACCAGTTGGGGTCGAGGAGCATTCACTTTCTCTGCTTCCTGGCTGCAGATGCAGAGGGACCAGCTGCCTCCCACTCCGGTCACCATGCCTTCTCTGCCACGATGGCTTGTCCCGAAACTGTGACCCAAAATAAACCCTTCCTTCCGTAAGTGGCTTTGCTAGGTGCTTTGTCCCGCCCATGAGAAAAGGAACTAATACAGATGGTAAACTATGTTCTGTGGATTTTGACCAGTTTTTAAAAGTCAGAATAAGAGAGTTTGGTATCAACTGATAGAGATCACCAGAACACAATTTTGGAGGGAAAAGGTTAATTAGTACTTTGTAAGAGATGGGAATGACAAAAATTTGGCACTTACTAGGATGTTTATTTTAAAATTAAGAATTCCTAAGAAATCAGTGAAAGGATTGAGTGTGGGTGGGAAACAGTATATACAGAAACAAGAAAAGAAGCCAGGGTTTCGCTATCTATGTGAATATCTTGCTCAGACTGTCAGTGTCTTCTAGGGTGTTAATTTTATTTTTATTCATTTATTTTAGGTGCACAAATGTTTTGCTTGCATGCATGTACTTGTGTGCACCGCATGCCTGCATGTCTGGTGCCCTAGGAGTTCAGAGGAGGAACTGGAGTTATAAATGGCTGTGGGCTACCATATGGGGGCTGGGAACTGAACCTGGGTCTGTACGAGAGCAGCAAGTGCTCTTAACCTCTGAGCCATCTCTCCAGCCCTGTTTTCCCGTGATGAAGGAGCAGCTTCGTGGAAAGTTGCTTACCAGCACACTCAAGGCTGCAAGTGTCTCAAAGGGTTGATGGGAGGGTTCAGGCTCCGGTGAGGGCACGGGGGAGGGGTCACATAAGTGTCTGGCTGCTATGGACATTGTAGGGGTCATTATTGACAAGTAAGAGATTGTTGGAAAGCAGCAGGCTTTTGGATTCCGGTGTAGACAACATACTTACTTGTATCTCAGTTGGGACAGGATTATCAAGCAGTCTGGGTTTTGTCCTGATCCACTGTGGTCACGTGTGGCCTCGCCTGATGTTGGTGTTCTGTGGCGTGGTTTATATGTAACAGGACACCAAGGCCTATCAGATAGTTCTTGACTCCAAACAGAAGCAGACTAAACGCCAGCAACTTATACACAAGTGAACAAATTATGCTTCTTCACAGAACGACGACTGTTCCAAGAAAGAGAACAAACTGCTCACACACTCAACCCCACGAATTCAGGCTCCTTAGAGTCACGTGCAACAGCAGCTCCCCCGTGAAAAACATGCCAATACAACCTCGGCCAAGCCATCCAGGACAGCATGACCAACAGGAAGACCTGGCGACCTCATCTGCCTCCCACAGATGATGCAATGGGAAGGGCAAAGGTTTGCCTGTGTGTGATTCTTCTCCCAAGACACATTATGTAATTACCAGAAATACCATACAAACCCAGTTGAAGGGCCCTGTACAGCATAATCAGCAGCACTCCCCACACAGCAAAATTACGAAGGGGGAAGCCTGGGAAACTGTCTCCAGGGGGCCACTCGCCTGAAAATGGACCTTAGTGAGACATCTTGCAAAATGTGACTGTTCATTAGTTAGAAGTGTAGCTACACTAGTTGGTAGGAGACAAGTAAATGTCCTAATTTAGATCACTGTACTCCGGTCAGGTAAGATGTACCATTGGAAGAAACTGGTAAATAATACACAGGAAGTCAACTATGTTTGCATTAAATTTGTTTTGTTTTGTTGTTTTGTTTTCAAGACAGGGTTTCACTGTGTAGCCCTGACTGTACTAGAACTCCTATGTAGACCAGGCTGGCCTCGAACTCACAGAGCTCCACCTGCCTCTGCCTCCCAAGTGCGAGGATTAAAGGTGTGCGCCACCACCACCCAGCTAGGTTTGCATTATTTCTGGAAGCCTTAAATTATTTCAAAAATAGATTTGTTTATAGAAAATAAAACAAGAACACAATGCTAGGGGTGGCGAGAGATGGCTCAGCAGTAAGAGCATCCAGGTTCCATTGCCAGCACTTACACTGTGGCTCACAATCATCTGCAACGCTAGCTCTCGGAGATCCTCTTCTGGCCCCCATAGGCACCAGGCACACACATGGCACACATACGTGTAAGCAACACCCACATACATAAATAAAAACAATGAAAATAAACTACACTCAATGCTGATAAGCCCAACACGAAAGTCACACTCTGAGACCATTTACGTGATGAAAAAGGAAAGCTATAGGTATAGAAGTCCCATCCTTGTCTTGGTCAGGGTGAGCAGACAGAGGCCATTAGAACAATGGGAAGTTCTGTATCCTCATTTTTGACATGCTTTTTTGACAACTTGTAAACTGTAAAATAAAGATGGTGATGTTGACAGTGTGTGCACTGTACCTCAGTCAACCCCAATTAAAAACAAGACGCAAGCACGCTGCCTCTTCCAGTGTCACCTGTCTCTGTTGTGATGAGAGACAGTGCACAGGAAGCTTGGGAAGCTAAAAACAGAAGGAGAGAAAAGTCAGCCAGAAAGAATGTCTGAGCTGGGCGACCGTGGAAGAAGACTGACACAGGGTCTCATACTATACCCCAGACTGGCTCAGGACTCACTATGCGGTCCAGGCTGGAATTCATGGCAATTCTCCTGTCTCAACTTTATAATAGCTAGGATTACAGATGTGAGCCACCAAGAGCAGGCTTCATTGTTGCTTGCTTCATATCACATATAAAAATCAATTAGACCCTCCCAAAATCGATTAGAAATGGATTAAAGACTTAGACACACCCCCTGAAACTGAGACTACAAGCGGAAAAGAGATGAGAGTCCTGACATTGGTTGGGCAATGATTTCTTAGCTAGGACCCTAAACACAGGTAATAAAAGCAAAAACAGGCAAACAGGTTGATGCAGGAATCAGTCATTTCCACAGTGGAGAAAATATTTCAAACCATACATTTGGAACAAAGTGGATGACCTTACTAACGTAAGTGAAATAAGCTAAGCACAGCAGCAGGGCAGGTGTACTGACCTGTGGAGTATATAAAGTATATACACTGTGGAGTATAGAAAACTATATACACTGTGGAGTATATAAAGTATATACACTGTGGAGTATATGAAAGTATATACACTGTGGAGTATATAAAGTATATACACTGTGGAGTATAGAAAAGCATATACACTGTGGAGTATATAAAGTATATACACTGTGGAGTATAGAAAAG